GATTTCTTCATCAAGTGATTCATTATCTAGCTCATCAGGAATTTCTTCAGCTAGTGATCTTTCATTGATATCTAGATCATCAGAAGCTGCTTCTTCCAGTGAATCATTATCTAGCTCATCAGATGTTTCTTCAGGTATTGAATCATTATCAGCATTGAATTCTCAATCATCAGAAGCTCTAACCACTTCTGTCGCTGGGGCAAGTACATATACTTCTCTTTCTTCAACTAGTGAATCATTATCAAGCTCATCAGAAGTTTCATCAGCTAGTGATACATTATCTAGCCCATCAGATGCTGCTTCATCCAATGAATCATTATCTAGTTCATCAGAAGTTGCTTCATCGAGTGAATCATTATCAAGCTCATCAGAAGTTTCATCAGCTAGTGATACATTATCTAGCCCATCAGAGATTTCTTCATCAAGTGATTCATTATCTAGCTCATCAGAAATTGCTTCATCTAGTGAATTATCATCTAGCTCATCAGAAGTTTTATCATCTAGTGAAGCATTATCTAGCTCATCAGATGTTTCATCATCTAGTGAATCGTTATCTAGCTCATCAGAGATTTCTTCAGCTAGTGATTCATCATTGATATCTAGATCATCAGAAGTTGCTTCATTTAGTGATTCATTATCTAGCTCATCAGGAATTTCTTCAGCTAGTGATCCATCATTGATATCTGGATCATCAGAAGCTGCTTCTTCCAGTGAATCATTATCTGGCTCATCAGATGTTTCTTCAGGTATTGAAGCATCATCAGCATTGAATTCTCAATCATCAGAAGCTCTAACCACTTCTGTCGCTGGGGCAAGTACATATACTTCTCTTTCTTCAGCTAGTGAATCATTATCAAGCTCATCAGAGGTTTCATCAGAGGTTTCATCAGCTAGTGATTCATTATCTAGCTCATCAGAGACTTCTTCATCAAGTGATTCATTATCTAGCTCATCAGGAATTTCTTCAGCTAGTGATCCATCACTGATATCTAGATCATCAGAAGTTGCTTCATCTAGTGAAACATTATCTAGCTCATCAAAAGCTGCTTCATCCAATGAATCATTATCCGGCTCATCAGATGTTTCTTCGGGTATTGAATCATCATCAGCATTGAATTCTCAATCATCAGAAGCTCTAACCACTTCTGTCGCTGGGGCAAGTACATTTACTTCAGATTCATCTGTTAGCTCAAGTATGAGAAGTGGTGCACTATTATCTTCATTTGAAAGCATACAGTCATCAGTTAACAAAGGAAGTACCTCATATTCAACACAGATTTCTGACATCACAAGTGGCTTGCATCCATCTTCAAATGTTGTTTCTGGTACTTTGCCAAGTTCATCCCAGCTAACGAGCGTTGCTACTTCATTAGTTCATAGTACTACCTCAAGTGGTGTGAGCAAACAGACATCAGTGGAATCACTATTCTCCCCAAGTGTTAGTGGATTTACATCAACAAGCAGCGGCATTGTGTCTATTCCATCACAAAGCTTTAGCTCTTTTATTAGACCAACATCCACAGGCTCATATGTGGTGTCTCAAGCTTCATCATCAGGATCATCATCAGAAGACTTTGTGACTTCGATTGAAGAATCATCCACAGGCGAAATGAAGAGATCAGCATCATCTGAGCCAGTGGTTTCTGATTCAACCTTAATATCAAGTGAACTCTCATCTTTCTCAACATACGCTTCTATTACAAGTTCATTTACAATTTCAACCCACGTCAGTGACCATAGCGCATCATTATCATTTCCAATAATTTCTAGTTCAACTTATGAGTCTGGAAGTTCAAGACTCATTCAACATAGTGATTCTTCCAATTTGACAACAACTTTTGCTGCCGCAAGTACCTGGTCTACAATGTTAAATATATCTGATGGCTCTACTACTTCATCAACAGTATTAAATCATCCACCGGCACCGCTATCATCATCATCATCATCATCATCAAAACAAGAGTTGTTGACCAGTGATTTCTCAATTCCATCACAAACTTCAAGTACAAGCTTCAACACTGAAGCATGCTCATCAGGAACTAAAGCTTTCACTGAAACCACGGGATCAACGTCATATTCATCTTTAGGATCAAGCTCGACCCTCCTTGGAACTAAATTTATCAATGTGAGTGGTTCTTCTTCTGTATCTTCCGCTTCAGGTAACATAGAAAGCAATGTTCATATACCAAGTACAACGGCTGAATCATTAGAAAGATCACTTGCTAGTTCATTTGGTGATGCATCAATAGTTACATCAAGAAGCTCAGAATTAGATTCTTCTATAACTAGCCAAGACAGCGCATCACGCTCAGATAAACCTCGCCCATCATTGGTACCACGCTCAACATTCACAATTTCAGCTGTTACATCAACCTCCAGTATTTGTGTTGTTGCAGAATATCAAACGTTCACACAGAATATATTGACTGAAATCCCAGAATATGATTCATCAAGTAGTATTACTGGCTGGAAAGGTACTACACAGGGTGTTCCATTCATTTCCACGGTTTGTTTACAATCATCAGAAGTCTCATCAATTTCATACTTTTCAAGTTATTTGTCTTCTTATGGTGTTTCATATATCACAAAGGATGTCGATATTACACATATCAGCAGAACTACTTTCTCCGTCACCGAAACTTCAACAAATACGGTTTTCATCACTTCTTCAAAACCAACACCTAGTGTTTCAACTGAGGACTATTCAAAGGCTGAACCTGGCTCATCGGTAACTTTACATGTCAGTGAAGAGACACACAGCTCTTTATGGGGCGGAAGCGGTGAAATTTCTCACACATCTGAACTTAACGACACCAAGAAAACATCCAAAACTGAAAAAAATACAGAAGACTCATTAGGATCAACTGTTGTTTCAACTGCTGAAATTACATCAAAATTAGCTACCAAATCAGAGGAACCAAAAGATCATTCAAAAGCAAGTAAAGCTGATTCCAACCCAGATGCAAGTATTGATATTAGATCATCAATTGTAACAGGTTCAAAGCAAGGGGGTGATGAGAATATCGAAAAATCGAGTGGTCTAGATTCATTCAAACAAAAAGCTACTTCATCAGTTGAATCATTTTCAACGCCAACTTCCTCTGGTAAAGATGGTGACTCTTTCATTAACATCAATCCATACACAGGAATCATCCCCCAGGAGACTGCTAGTCTATCAGTTTCATTGAATTCAGCTGTCATGACTGATTCAGTCTCTTCAACAATACCAACAGCTGCTGTATCTACTGATGAAGCTACAACTTCAGATAACCAAAATTCATTGAGTGGTGATGCTAATATTAACCAAGACCAGCACATTTCAAAAGAATTAGGGGAAAATATAAGCTCAAGCGTGAATGCACCTCAAAGTTCCAGTTTGAATTTAGTTCATTCATCCCAATCCTCTACTGATTCATTGCTAAACTCAGATACCAAAGGTATTTCAAATAGTGACGTTGCAGAAAAATCATCTAGTGATACATTTACCAAAGATAAGCCTTTAGTTTTTACAGATACTTCCATCACTACTTCTACTTCTATAGGTTCATCAAATACCCCTGCTGCTACCCCCGTGTCTTCTAATGAATCAATTGTTTCTAATGATGGTAATGGAACAGAATCTGGCTCCTTGAGTGATACAAGTGCTTCAAACAGTGATGGTTCAAACCAAACTCCAACAAACTCCACAACTTCTAATGTCATTTCAAATACTGAATCATCTCAAAATGGAACTATTACAAACCAACCTGGTCAAACAACAAATGGAACCACTAATGGTACAATTCCTGAAATCCAAACAACAAGTAGTGCGTCTAAAGCTAGAGGTAGCTTCTTATTATTATTGATTGTTTCATTTTTCACAATTACTATTCTAGTGGTTTAATTCCAACTTGCCATAGGATAAATCAACTTTTCTTGCATGATATTGTTAGCTCAATATCCATTTTTCTTATCGTCATTTTTACCATTGCTTTATTTTTGCATCATTCATTAATTTTTATACCCAAATAATGTTATTTGAGGCGTTTTTTTGTAAATAGTGTTTATTATATTAAATTATACAGAAATTTTTGTTATTAAAATGCAATGTAGATATATTATTATTATAATATTGCTATATTAATACTAGTACATTCGAGCTTATATGTAGCATCTAGTTGAGATATTGAGTGGATACGAGTCTTATTATATAGTGGTATATTAATATTATATTAAAAAAGTTAAACACGAAATGACTTAAGAAGCTATTGCAATTAAAAACTAATATCTCAAAAAGTATCTCAAGCTTATACAGCTTCGAAGCAGAAAAGTATATGAGTAGGTAAGTTGAATTCAGGTTAAATGTGGTTCAATGATGATGGTGATATAAAATATTGTAATGATGGGGATGTAAATTGGGTGTAAACAATGAATAAGTTGTATTTATTAACCTAATCAATGGTGGTGGTTTCAGTTCTGATAGAGGTTGGGGTCCAAGAGTTACCATTACAGGTATCAAAATATGATGTGACATGATATTCTGTGTAGATCAAAACTGTATCACCGAATGTTGTAGTTGTGACACCTTTAGATTCTGTTGATGGTGTAATTGATGGACATGAAACTGAGTAAGAAGCTGATGGTGCTTGTGCTGTTAAAAATTGTTAGTATGATTTTCCATAATCTATATTTAATAGTTCATCATTCATGGTGAAACATACCTTGAGCTTTCATCAAAAGACTTGAAAGAGCTAATAATGGTAAAGTAAATTTCATTTTGTATAGTTAAACGAGTGTGATAATATTTAATAATATGATAAGATTATAATAATTAGATGAAGAGATGATGATCAATATCAGGGGATCTTGTACCCTTTTATATATTTGAGAGACTTCTTTATCGGTTATACATTTGTGCATGCTTTATATCTTGCTAGATTAGGTCAACATAATGGAGTTTTCTGCATTTTGAAAGAAGTTTCCATGCTTTTGGAAATAGATTGCCTCAAAAACGATTATTTGAGGTTAAGGTCCAGGGTGAATGTTTACTTTTATTTGAGTTTGATGCACCGAAAAAATTTCTTCTGTAAAATAATACGATATGATGTTCATTGTATCAACCGAATTAGGAAATAACAAAGATATTTCACACAAATCATAAGTTTCCATAATCAAGAGCCTCATCAAAAAAACTTAGTTACTTGAAGTGCTGTAGTTCGTCAAAGTATGACTTGTATAACCTGAAATTGTGATTTAGAAGAGTTACAGAACATATTGAATTAGCTGATGGAATTGTTCAATTAGTTGGAAATTGGTAGGGCCGTAGCTGATTCATGGTTCGTTTCAAGATCTCTAGGATTATCTAGGTATAAAATAACTGTGTTCTATAATCTAAGCACAAATATAAAGATACCTCACAATGATGCCTTGAGCTATAACGTGATCAAGTGGATGCACAAAAGTTCTCTTCGAAAATGTCTTATATATATGAATATTAAAACCTATTTATTTATAAGCTAAGCTCTCATATAAAAAAGTGATTTTCGCGGTCCCTTATTAAAAGAAAGCGCGAAGCCTGATATTACTAATCATCACAAACTTGATTAGTCAGGCATATATATAACTATTCAAAATCATTAATGAATATGCTGATACTTCCCCTATAGATTACAGCAGCCAATCCATGTAATAAATCAGCAAACGTGCTAACAATTATTCAATAATTCGAGAATTAAATATATATTAGTATCAGTACTAATATAAATTGCACAACTAGTTAAACTCATTGAACATTGAACAGCTAAAGTAATATTAAGGCACGAGCTAGCTGGTACATACTTATAACGACACTAGTACTTAATATATTATATATATATATATTTCAATAAATTTATAATTAGGACAAAACTCGTTGTTCTAGGAATAGCTTCCAAGGCTGGTGCAATTTAGCTGTTTTAATTAGGGAGCTTTTACTTAAGAGCCTCCAATTCATATTGTGACTATACAGTACATTATTTAAAGCTTCATTTGAAGCTTAGCTTATCATACTGCTATGTTGAATGAAAAGCGCCCTTAAAAATAACCCAAAATCCTTAAAATGATCAGATAGTACTGTGCTTAACAGTTTATTGGCCTTTCTAATTTGTGATGTGGAAGCTAGTTATCGAATATTATTAACCATTTAACAGCTGATTATATCTAGGTAACTAGATCATATGAGTTGTTCAATAGAACGTGGATAATATCAAAATGTTCAAAGAATTCTAGTCTATATATGGTGTTGTAATTCAATTACTTGCGTCCAGTAATTCATTTATTGATCTAGAAATTGCCACCCATCAAGCATCCAGTTTCAATTCGTTGTATCTAGATATCTAGACGTATCTAAATTCCAACTTACAATTCAGACGTGTGTAGTAGCATACTAGCATACTACTAACCATCATCTAATAAATATGGGTTATAGGATTGATTAGATAGACAATACAGCAGAAGTTCGTCTCAAGAGGCAACTCAATCCAATTTTTTTAAATAGACTTTCTAGTTCCTTTATATATCATCAAGAATTGCAGGTATAAATTTCTATGTCCTAGTATAATTTTCGAATTTGTCGCGTTTAGAAGTTTAGCGAAAATTATACGTCAAAATTTCGATCCAGTTCTTTAAGGTACACTATTAAAAAAAAAAACATTAGAATTTAGGACCAGCAAATTTTATTACACAATTTACTACGAGAGCTACAAAAGTAGCTACATATGTGAACCATGAACAAATATATTACACTAGCTAATTGCAAAAGATTGCAAGGTTTCCCATCTTAACTCGTGATTGATTTTTACGCTGAATGGACATTGACCGCCAAAATGAGTTTTCGTTAAAATTCTTCTCTTTATTTAGCCTAGTTTTAATTTTTTATCCTGTCATTTTCCAAATGTCCCAAAATTAAACTTTTTTAACGTGCCAAAGAACTTTTTTCAGGACAGATTTACAGCCTCGCTAAAACATTTTAGGCGCCTAGTCGCGAATTTCATTAGAAATATTCCGTAGATGTCCAGAGTTTCGATTTCGACTCGCGACAACAGGCTAAAAAAAGAACACTTGTGTAAAAATGTCCAATGTCCCGGCTCCTGTTTTCCTTTTTCTTTGCTTTTAAACTTTTTCGAATCGATCTGAGACGTCTCAGATTCTTGAAAAGCTGAATCAAGCATTTTTTTTTGATTTCAACAAGACGGTAATTCAAGCTTTCAAGAGATCCAAGAAAACTCAAGAAACAAGTCCAAGACCTCTTGAGCTTTAGTGTCAAACAAGTATCTTGGTTCATCAATATTCAGATCATTGAGAGAATCAGCTTCATCATAACATCAGGTACCAAACTTAGATCTAGTTATACTTGAAGCTTTTCAACAAGATCTTCCTTTACATTCGCTTTCCGTCAACTCCAAGACATAAAGATTAAGAGAAAAGAAAGTTGATCCAATATAAAGGTGTTTGAAAAAACTTCTGCAAGATCATTCTTTCCCTCAAAAAGTGCCCATTCATTTGTTCATTAATTAAGCTTTGATTCTTTCAAGTCCAAGAATTATACAACTAAGATTTGAACGCGTTTCATCAGATTTTCAGTTTCAAATACAATAATTTATTCATAGGAATAGCTTCCATACAAATCCAGTTATCTATAAATTCTTGCTAATCAATTTAAAGTGATCCAAATTGCTAATTTTGAAATAATTACAAACCATCAAATTTATTTATTATGTCAACTAGAAATTTGACTGATCGTTCCCCAATAGTTGGTGGTAGTTCTGAATCATCAGACTCTGACAGACCAAGAAATCCATTTTTACAAGATGAAGAAAACTCAGTTGAAGATTTAAGTGATGATTCAAGATCAAACTTACAACAATCAAATGTTTCAAAGCCTTATATTGATTATTCAGGTTATTATAGCCAACAAGGGTCATCATCAGCTTCATTGACTCCAAATAACCAAAACTCATATTCTTCATCAAATATTTCAGGTATGAACCAACAACGTCATTTATCAGTCAATAATGATATTTATTCACCACCTGAATATGATAGATATCCAACTTTAGGGGGCTCAAGAGTTGCCTCTATGGCTCCATCAGTTAGCTCTACAACAAATCTTGTGGAACATCAAAAAAAACACTCCATGGTCTCAGATAGATCTTCAACTTCAGATGGTTCTTCTAATCCTTTCATGGCTGATGCTGATTTTAGTCCTTTTGGTGGTTATCCAGCTTCTTCTTTCCCATTACATATAGATGAAAAAGAACCTGATGATTACATACATAATCCAGATCCAATTGCTGATGCTTATTTAGACAAACATAGATTTTTGAATGATTTCAAAAACATGGATAAAAGATCTGGTGGTGGTCTTTTCGGTTTATTATTCTTATTACTTGGTGCCATTGCCATTTTCATCATTTTACCAGCTTTAACTTATTCAGGTGTTGTGGATCATGGTAAACCAACTGTTATCGAAATATTAACATTTTATAGCTATCCACAATTAAGTGCTATTAGAACAAGTTTAGTTGATCCAGATACTCCACAAGATGCCTATGAAAAAGAATCTAGAAATGGTGATAAATGGAAATTAGTTTTCTCTGATGAATTTAATGCTGAAGGTCGTACTTTCTATGAAGGTGATGATCAATTTTGGAATGCACCAAATATTCATTATGATGCTACACACGATTTAGAATGGTATGATCCAGATGCATCAACTACAATTAATGGTACATTAACTTTGAGAATGGATGCTTTTGAAAATCATGATTTATTTTACAGATCAGGTATGTTACAATCATGGAATCAAATGTGTTTTACACAAGGTTATTTGGAAGTTTCATCTAAATTACCAAATTATGGTAATGTTACAGGTTTATGGCCAGGTATTTGGACTTTAGGTAACTTAGCTAGACCAGGTTTCTTGGCTTCTGCTGAAGCTGTTTGGCCATATAGTTACGATTCATGTGATGCTGGTATTACACCAAATCAATCTTCTACAGATGGTATCAGTTATTTATATGGTCAAAGATTAAGTGCTTGTACTTGTGACGGTGAAGATCATCCAAACCCAGGTACTGGTAGAGGTGCTCCAGAATTAGATATCTTAGAAGGTGAAGTTGATACTACTTTAGGTACTGGTTTAGCTTCTCAATCATTCCAAGTTGCTCCTTATGATATTTGGTATATTCCAGATTATGATTATGTTGAAATTCACAATCATAGTACAACTGTCATGAATACATATACTGGTGGTCCATTACAACAAGCTGTCTCTGCCGTTACTACATTAAACCCAGCTTGGTATGAATTTGGTGATACTGATGGTCACTATTTCCAAAATTATGGTTTAGAATATTTGAATGACAATGATGATGGTTATATTAGATGGCACGTTGGTCAAGATCCAACAATGACTTTACATGCTACAGCATTACATCCAAATGGTAATATTGGTTGGAGACGTATTCCAAAAGAACCAATGTCAATTATCTTAAACTTGGGTATTTCAAATAATTGGGCTTATATTGATTGGGCTTCTATTATGTTTCCAGTTACTCATCAAATTGATCATGTTCGTTTATATCAACCAGAAGATCAAGTCGATGTTACTTGTGATCCAACTGATTATCCAACTTATGATTACATTCAAAGCCATAAGAATGTCTATTATAATGCAAATCTTACAACTTGGAAAGATGCTGGTTATGATTTCCCAAAGAACATATTAACTGGTAACTGTAAGAGTTCACATTATAACGGGCCAACTGGCGCTCAAGCAGATGGTCAAACATAAGGTGGTTAAATCACATTACTTTTTATTAAAGGCATAACCCCTGATCAACCACCTTCAATAAAAATTTATTATTAATTCATCATCATATTCACATTTTTTATTATATTTTCAATTATTATTACCCATCCACCATCATTGTATGATTGTTTCATTTCATATTTTTATATCAAAAAGGGCAAGGTTTGATCATATAAATTCATTGTATTTTTAGAGAGATATCAAGATTGTTTCAATTTCTATACTGAACAATTAAGATACATTCATACATATTATTATTTTTTTATCGTTATTATTAACTCATTTTTGCTTGCACTCGGTTGTTTATTATAAATCATACAAATCATTATATAAAAGAATGTTATGTTTAAGAACATGATATATAGATTTCACAGAATAAACATTCTGTCATTTTTGAATATTGTAGCTGGCTAAATAATTGTATATTATACGCCATCTAGTAAGTTATACACCTCATTGATAATTTGAAGTCGTTTCCCTATTGGTGTGATGTAATACTTTATATCAAACTTGAGACTTTCAGATATCTGTAATAAATCTTCAATCTGGTGAAGAAGTTTATAACCCAATTTAATATCTTGATTATTTTGTTCATTATAAGATTCAACTTCTTTAATAATGGAGTTACATGATTCTTTATCTTCCAATTTTTTTGAATTATGCTTGAAGATTTTAGATTTCAACAGAAAATCTTTAAATATCGTTATTCTATCATCTAATGGCTTCTTATGGTATACCAAATACTCTTTATAAGTTTTTTCCTTTTCTCTATCTCCTAAATCAAATTTCTTGAGTTTCTTTTTCCATTTTTTCTTAAAATCGACATAAAGTCTATCCAATTCATCTCTACTTTCAAGAAACTTGATGAATTTAACAAATGGTTCCTCTGGTTCTTCATCGCCAGCATTTTCTTCCTTGAGTTCTTTAGTATCATCAGTATTTTGTTGTTTCAAAGTAACTGCGATAGATGCCCAACCGTCAAATATTCTTTTTCTATCACGATTATCATCAATTTCATAAAATCTTGGATCATTTATCAATTTCAAAGATTCAGATTCCCAAGTACCAAAAGGATTTAATTCACTTTCTTGTAACAATTCGAAAAAAATAGCTTCTGCTTGTTGTGGATCTTTAGATTCACCTTCATCTGATGATAAGTCATTAAGCATGTCTAAATCAATGGCATTTTCTTCTTCGGATGATTCAGCACCCTCATCATTAGGTTCTTCTGAGAGTTCTGTTTCTAAGACATTAACTTGATCAGTAATATCTTTTGAAGGTTCAACTTTTGATTCATTGATTTCATCTGTGTTTTCACTTGTTTCAATTTTTTCTTCAACTTTAACTTCATCTTCATTGTCTGAATCATCTTCACTCGATGAATAACCAGAAACTAAAGGATTAACTGGTTTTTGTGTGATTTGTTCAATTTTTGGAGTTTCATCTTCATCATCACTCTCTAAACCTTTCAGCATTTCCTGAACTTTCTGTTCATCTTCATCTTCATTATCCAATTCTCCATGATCATCCTGTAACTCTTCTTTTTTGGGTACTAAACTATTATTCAATATTGAATCCTGTTCCTCGGTTAACTTAAGACCTCTTGATTTGGCAATCAACAATAATAAACTATCTTTCTCTATATCCTGAACTTTTTGAAGCACTAATTCATCATCAATTTTCCAATGTGATTCTTTAGTTTCTTTATTATGGAAGAAATGAGAACCTTTAGTGGTAAATACTAATGACCATTGTGTATCTGGTAAATCAACTCTAAAATATCATGTTAATATCTTATATATCAAATATTGATAAATATTTATGATTTACTTACTTGAAAGTTGGTTTTGCAGTTTCTTCTGTACGTTGTCTCTTATCTTGTTTGTGATTATTCTGTTTTGATTGCCTCGATGGATTTTTCGATTTAGGTTTGGTATAAGTAGACTCTTGAGTTAATGAATTGTAGTAATAAAAATGTCCTATATAAAGATTATGTTAGTGCTATGTTATATTCCATTTTTTCAAAGCAGAGTTAAAACCCACCTGTTGGTGCCTTGTGTCGGCTCCAGTTTTCTGGAAGACCATCAGCATTGGATTGATTCATTATGCCTTGGATAAACAGTCTCTTCTAAGTCTTTTTTCAATGGAATAATACCAAACTCATCATAATCAAGAGCTTATACCTCTTTCAAACCGCAGGGTAAATACCCGCGAAAATCAAATCTGATCAAAACCGAAAAGCAGATTACCTTGAATACTAACAAACCAAAGAACACACACTAAAACAAACCAATTGTCTTTCAATCAAAGAACAAATTCATAGGTTTCTATTAGCAATATGGGATCCAGAAGATACGATAGTCGAACCACAATCTTCTCACCAGAAGGTCGTCTTTACCAAGTATGTTTATGATTATTTTACTAGTGTGCTTATATATCTCCAGTATCCATAGTGGCGTACAAGTTAATTACAACTTTTAACGTTAAATTATCAAAAGTTTGGTTATTAAAAAGTACACTTTTAGGATGTTCAATTGAATGGATTACTAACTTTTGGAATAGGTTGAATATGCTTTAGAAGCTATTTCTCATGCTGGTACTGCGATTGGTATTCTTGCCACTGATGGTATTGTACTAGCTGCTGAACGTAAAGTCACCAGTAAATTATTAGAACAAGATACATCAGCTGAAAAATTATATACATTGAATGAGTGAGTATGAACGTATTATTTTATCAAATGATGATTTTACTAATGAATCTTTAGTAATGTTGCAGTGGCAGTTGCCGGTATGACTGCTGATGCAGGTATTTTAATCAATAGTGCAAGAGTACAAGCTCAAAATTATTTAAAAACATATAATGAAGAAATTCCAGTTGAATTATTGGTTCGTCGTCTTTGTGATATAAAACAAGGTTATACACAACATGGTGGGTTAAGACCATTTGGTGTTTCATTCATCTATGCAGGTTATGATGATAGATATAATTATCAATTATATACATCAAATCCATCAGGTAATTATTCAGGTTGGAAAGCTACAAGTGTTGGAGCAAATAATGCAGCTGCACAAACTTTATTAAAACAAGATTATAAAGATGAAATTACATTAAAAGAAGCATCTGAATTGGCTTTAAAAGTTCTATCGAAAACTATGGATACAACAACATTATCAAGTGAAAAAATAGAGTTTGCTACTATTCAAAAGGATAAAAATGGTAAAGTTTATCAACGTTTATGGAAACCAGATGAAATTGAAAAATTATTAAATGAAACTGGTATTCTTAAAAAGGAAGATGATGAAGAATAAAATGGTGGAAACTAAAATCCCTGTTTAGAAAGCTTTTATAAATGATTTTACTATGATGATTTAAAAGAAAGATTGTAGAATTGAAACTGATTAAATTCATTCAAATGATAGCACTTTTATATTGTTGGTTAGAAGCCCCGAGCGCTGAGTTTATATGAAAACAAAACATTGTAAAGCATCATCACAAATCAATGAAAACCTAAATTAAAAAGATAGAGCTCAGTATATCACATATTCGCTATTATTATTAAATGGTCCTGGGGTGAGTGTCTTCCACTATTATATATTTACTTGTTTAATAGTTCCATTTTCTAACAATAACTAGATCTTTTGTCACTGTTGCAGATACACCAGTTGGGTATACAAGACCATCATTTCCATCATTATATTGGCCAATAAATAATGAAAAATATACCGTATCATACTTGTATTATACATTTGATATTTGGAAATTCACTGTTTTTTGGAATTTAATCTTCTTTGTTGGATTCTATGCAGCTGCTGGATCATGGGCAGCTTTTATTCATAGAAGATTTGCTGGTGGAGTTTGGATTTTAGCATTTTATATCATTATTGGAGGTTTACAAGGTGTGATATCAGGGACAGTGTTTGGTTTGGTGTGAGTATACAAACTAGATGCTTCTATTAATTATATACTAACTTATTCATTTCCAGAGTATCAGCCATTTATAGAGCTGGTTTATTTTCAATGTCAACTTGGATTCCACTTTGTTCAAGTGTTTTACAGATTCTTTTCAACGTCATCACATCCTACACAACTCTGTCTGTGTTAATATGAACAAACTCAGCCATTAATTAATACTTTTAAATGAATTATATTAACCCATGTTACATATATGACATAGTGACATAGTATGTCTGTTTTTACGGTGTCAAGTCCATTTTCATTTCCTAATCGGGAAGTCTAGAACACCCTTTTTAAATATGGCACTGCTGGAAACTTGAAATGATCCATAAAGTTTCTCGTTTATAAAGGTTTTCAAGTGTCTTTTTGTTCATCAAGTTCAACATCAACAACTATTCATTGAGATTTTATAGATTTTGTTTGCATCATGTCTGGTCCTTTGGTTAATCGTTCATTAGCTACTTTGAAAACAGTGAGTATATCGTCTTTTTAAGGGTCTTTTTCGCCACATGTGTTTATTATGGGTTATGGAATTTTATGCTAACAAGAATGTCAATAGGAATTGGAATTTCTTCGTGATTCTGAAGTTATTACTGATAAATTTTATGATCAAATAGTTGGGAAATTACCAAATCGTTATCAAGCTGGTGCTCCTCCTATTGATGGGTTTGATAATACTTCATCTCAACAAACTTCTTCAACACCAAATGAAAAAAATGGTGCTTTAATTCCACAACGTCCAAATCCAAATTCAAATCCAAGTAATGAAAATAAAGAATTTGTTGAAGCTATTTACGATTATAAGCCTCAACAACCAGAAGATTTAGAATTAAGATCTGGTGATAAAGTTCAAGTTTTAGAACATACATCTCCTGATTGGTGGAAAGGTTTAAATGGTTCAAGATCAGGTATGTTCCCATCAAATTATGTTAAACCTTTAGAAAAACAAGATTCAAGAGCACAGGCACCATCTCCTGCTCCATCATACCAATCTTCAAATCATAATTATCCACCTCCACAACAATATAATCAACCTCCATATTATCAACAATCTCCACAATTCCCACCATATGGTTCACCAGTTCCTTATCAACAACCTCAACAACAAGTTTATCAACAACCTCCTCAACAACAAGAAGTTGTTGTTCAACAACAAGAACAAAGTGGAGCAGGTGGTCATGTTAAAAAATTTGGTTCAAAATTAGGTAATGCTGCAATTTTTGGTGCAGGTGCTACAATTGGTTCAGATATTGTTAATTCAATTTTTTAATAGGTGTATTTTTTGATTTAATTATTATGGGTTTTTATGAATTTTAAAGAGAAACGAGGGTATTTATTTTTGGTGATTATATATAATAAATAAAGAATTTTATCCCAATTATTCGTTAGTATATGTTTTACGTTAATATTACTTCATATCATGTATTCATATAGCTGTGTAAGTATCAACGTTGTTAACTTTAGTTAATAAATTGATTATAAATATTATGAATTCTTTGAATAGTGTTCAATTTAACTAAAATTGAAGAATTTTGATTATTTAAATCATTAACATCTCTAATCCATTCAAATCTTCTATTTTTTGGTATAATTGAAATTCCTGAATTTCTTAAAGAAATAATTTCTAATAATAACATACCATTAATATAGTTTAATTCTTCTTGATTATTATTATCAAATTCCTTGTTTAATAACCTTTCAATATTATTTAAATTCTTAGAAACAATTAATTTATATTCATTTGAATTTCTTGTAATATAACCTTTTTGTAAATAAGAATTTAAACCTTTAATAAAATAAATCAATATAATTAAACTTGGTGATGCTGCAACGATACCAAATACTAATTCTTGAGATTTTAATAATTTATCAATACCACTAATAGCAACTGCTCCATCAACTTTTGTTTTTTGAATTTGAATTAATAAAGCTCTTGTTAATTTCCCCTTTATTAAATTTTTTAAAGGTTGTTTTATATCATTTTCATAATCCTTCATTAATGGAGTTAAATCTCCATTTGAAACTAATTGATCCAATTGTGTTTTAAGTATTTCTAAATCTGTAGATTTTAAGTTTTTATATTCAGGTGAATTTTCTAAAGTATATTCAATAACCATTCTTTTCAAAGAATTTAAATCTGAATCAAGAGATTTTTGTGACATTATTGAAATTTCTGAATTATCATCATGACGAATTGTTGAAAGGATATTCTTGACAGGTTTTAAGATCCAATTATTTAAAAATCCTTTCACAGTATCGATTAAATTTTTTTGAATAAATTCCAAAATTTGATCTTTATTGGTGATTATTGATAAGATTGTACTTGGTCCATAAACTCCTGTAAGTAAAATTGTTGGCCAATATCTTGTTATGAATGATGGTTTAGAATTTAAGGATCTTAATTGTTGGATTGAATGTTTGGATTGAGGGATGATTTTATTGGAGATTTGATATAAATTAATAAAATGATCATTTGATTTGGTGGTCAAATCACTTTGAATTACATTTTTTGGAAAAACTGAAACTAAAGATTGAATATTTTCACCAAGATCATTTTCATTTTGACTTAATTTTTCCATATTTGGGATATTTTTAATTAAAAAACCTAATTTTTTAGCATTTTCAGATTGTAATGATAATAAATTTGATTTTTTCAATGTTAATTCTTGAGTTATCAAATTTATAGGTGTCCCCAAGATTATAGAGAAATAATTTTTGATACTTAGAGATGATTTTTGGAAATTAAACCCATTTTTATTTTGATTTAAAATTTTATAAAAACCTTTGATGTTTTGTGATACAAAATTATTATAAATTGAATTGGTTAAAATATTTTTATAATGAATAAATAATTTATAAGAATTGATATAATTTGGATAATTTGAAACCAGGTATTCTGGAACTTGGATATCAAGACTTGATATATTTGGAGTTGTTGTTTTTTTGAAATCATTTAAAATTGATTTCACCAAAGTTGAACCTCTTGATGGTAAAGTTTGTAATGAATATAAGAAAACATTCCAGTTTGAATTAATTATCAAATCATAATAAAATAAATCATCATTTAATGGTATTGTATTTTGTAAATATTGAGTTAAAATAAGTTGATATAATGAAATTATTGCATAATAAATGATTGTTTTCTCTAATTTACCGATCAATTCAATTTCTTTTATAGCTAATGTATCAATGGAATTGATATCTAATTGAGATTTGATTTTTTCATATATTGAACCCTGAGAGAAAGGTTTCAAGATTTTCAAAATTTCAACTAATTTAACATTTTTATTGTTTAGATCAATATCTTTAGAACCTTGAGCATTAATATTACTTGATTTTTTCTTTAAATTCAAAACAATATTGGAAATATCTTGATAACTTGATTGAATAACTAATAATTGACTTCTAATTTGGTCATTATTTGATAATTGATTTATTGAATTGTTAATTTCATCATCAGCATCATTTATATGTAATTCAGTAATCTCATCTAATATTGAATTTGAATATTTTTCTAAAAAAACCAAATTATCTTGGAAAGCATCATTTATAACACCAGTTGACATTTTGTAATTGATAACCAAACCAAAATTAATGAACTAATGAAGTCAATTAATTACTTGAATCTGGATCCTTTATCAAAAGAGCAAGTAAAAAAGGTTATGTAAAAGAAAACTATAAAAGAACAGGGCTGCGAACCACTTGAATATTGATTATCCCAAAGCACTAGAACTTTATCATACTTGAATTTTAAAAAGATAAAAATGATACCATTGTACTCTAGAAGATTAGAGCATCACAATGGTATAAATTTTAGTTCAATTGACCAAGGATTAAACGAAAAAGGTGAATTCTTAAAGAATATATGTGTCAAACGATGAGACAGCTCAGGAATATGGGTTTTACAAGATCGATGTAAACGAGTAATTAGCTCTAGATCTGGTCATTATACAGCATCTTTATCAATTCAATAATTATCCAAACGATGTACGATCTAAAGTAATAGTTCAAATTACCAGCTCAATGGGCCTTCAAAGCTCATCGCATTGAACATCTTAACCACGACGTTAACGACTTGGATCTCCATTGACCATTTGTTTTGATTTCAGCCATATAAATTACCCAATTTACCACTAGTAATCACAAATGTCAACAAAACTAATCAGATTAAAAGTTATAAACATAAACAAATCCAATATAAATCTGTTAAATTTGTTTTCAATTCTGTTAAAATTTCATTAAAATTTCAATTTCGATTCCTAAAACGGTAAAACAAAAACAAATTGGAAACCAGGACTAGACCTATGGATATTCAAGTTTCAGGTCTCAGAAGTCTCATAGTCCCACACCTCGGTGAAGAACAAAAAGAACCACCGGTTCATGCATTAATCAACGTCATTTAAAAATTGGCTTTGTAATACTTTTTATATAGCAATTAAAACAATTAACAATCATGAAGTAGCAATAAGCAAGTTAAAACAATTACTATATAAACTAAAAATTATTTGATGACCATTCATCATACACTAAACTTTGACATATAATATGTACTTATATATACTCGTTTAACCCAGTCTACTGGCAATTACGGGATCTTTATTATCTTATCAATGATCATTAATATGGTTCCATATTCCATATTTCATATGTTCCATGTTCGTTTCAGTAACAATGACTGGTAAGCACTGCTAACTATGTATTAAGTCAATTGTTATCCTCAAGTTAAACTACCTTAAAAACCTTCGCTACGCTTCAAATCATGTGTAAGTGAAGGCCTAGGATGTAAATAATTTATTACAAATTCAGTAATTTTCTTCACTTGGAATTTCTAAATTTCCATTTTAGTACATCATTAGTTCCGAATCCGGTAATTATGTGGGATAAATTAAAAGCTTTAAAACCCATGAAAAATTAAAGAAAACTATGGACGATGGGCAATATTGTAATGCTACTACAACAATTAACTTTAAGACTAAATACAATAAAATACAACACAATATCAATACCAATATTTGTTTACTTATTACTATATTCTCTTTTAAACCATACTTTTATTACCAACTTTTGAATACGTTTACCCACTTTTGCATTTTATAGTCCCTTCAACTTATACTAGTCTCTAGTCCCAATTCTGTCAATCCCAAACGGGTTCGGAATAAGGATACATAATTTGTAAATTCTAAAATGTATTTAAAATAATCATGAAATCCTTAATTTGAAAAAAAAGCCATAACCTTGTGTTAAAATAAAAGTTTTAAAGATTTCATACAACTCAATTCAAAACAAAAAAAACATTACAATGGCTCTACCAATCTTTGATTCTGCCCTACGTGGTTTAAATTTCGTCTTTCTAGTTATTGTCCTTGGTTTAACTGGGTCATTAATTGCTGGTCAAGATCATAAAAATCCTCAAGTTAATTTTGCATTATTTGCTGCAGTATTTGGTTTAGTACTTAATTCATTTTATGGTTTAATTGCAAATTTTGTTTCATTCTTAGCTTGGCCAGTAATTTTATTCATTATAGATTTCTTAAATCTTGTCTTTACATTTGCTGGTGCAACTGCTTTAGCTGTTGCAATTAGAACTCACTCATGTACTAATCAAGATTATTTGGATAATAACAATGTTGCTCAAGGTTCAACTGATCGTTGCAGAAAAGCTCAAGCTGTTGTTGCTTTCTTATATTTCTCATTCTTTGTGTTTTTAGGTACTTTTGCTTTCTCTGCTGTTGGTTTAATTAGTGGTGGTGCTTTTGGTTCAAGTTCAAAAAGAAGTGCACCAAAAACTGGTATTCCAACCATTTCAACTGTTTAGATTGAACTATAATTACAATATACCCCCAAAGATACAAAATAAGAGAACAATTACTTTTTATATCCCCTTAAAGTTCAATACCATGTTAAATTTAAAGCATTGAACTTTTTTTTTTCTATATAATTTCAAAAACTTTTTAACCACAATTCACTTCATGAAAAAGGAAAAACAATAATTTTTAACTATGTGTTTACAACTTGTGCTTAGTGTTTTTTACTTGATGTTTTAATTTAAACAAAACACATTCAATGTATTATTTACTTGCTTTAATTTTTATTTTAATACAATATGATAATGAAGATTATATGGTACATGTAGTATAGTAGTATACAATAGTACAATTGACACATTTATATTAAATCATGTTGGTCTATACAATTCTTAATTAAAGTTCAATCAATTGAACACTTGAAAATAAGGGGTGTTTAACTTTTAGCCTTGAGTTAAAATTTCCAAATTTTGAGTGTACAAGATCTTCAAGGTATTTCAAATTTCAATTATCCGATTCCGATAAATTTGAAATTAATTGCAGAAATTTTCCAAATTAGGAGAAATTGATTACCGAATTGGGAATTGTGTCAACAAAGTACATAAACTATGAGTACAATTCATTTAAACTAGATGTAATTATATGAAGGTAATAGCTATATGTTTTCTGATCTTACACAATCTGGTGAAGATTAATTCATTGTATTCAAACAATATCTTCTTTAGTATGACTGATCTGACGTATAATGATATTCAAATTGAATATATACTCACAATTGATACACCATATTGGATCATCAACATGGTACAATATGGTACAATATCATGATTAAATATATAAACTTGTATAATATCATATAGTAATCACTACAACATCTGATAATCATGACTTTTAATAAATTAATTATTCTATGAAATTATATATATACTATACTATACACCAATGAATCTCTCTAAAAAAAAATAATAATCTAATGTACAAAATAAAAATTTAATATAAAAAAACAATGCAATGGGGAAAAGGACCCTAAATGATAAAAATATTTAATGAATTATATTAGCCAATGCTAAATTATTATGCACAACAGAAAAACTTTTTAAAACCTGATTTCTTTACTGATTCATCATCATTTAATTGTTGATTAATATTATTAGTTCTTGATTCAATTATACCACTTGAAGAATTAACTTTTTCTCTAATTGGAGTTGGTTGTTTATTTTGAAATTGTTGTTGATTTAATGCATTTGAAGTATTCAATTCATTTTGCTGTTGTTGTTGCTGCTGTTGTTGTTGTTGTGAAGATGGTGGTTGAGGTTGTTGTTTAAACATTTGTGGATTAAGAGGTTGAGTTGTTGGTAATGGTTGTTGTTGTTTTGGATTAATTGGAATATGATTTGATACAGGGATTGGAATTTGTTGATTATGTCTCTTGTTTCTTTGTTGTTGTTGATGACGATGATGACGATCTTTTTCATTTGGAGGATTTGGATGTCCATAACCATGTAAATTTGGTTTTTTATTTATTGATAAATCCCAACCTTTACCACCGTTTAATTTCATCCAATCATATTTCCCATCAGCAGTTTCACCAATATCAGTTAATGCACTTAATAATAATTGTCTATAACCTTCATAATTTGGAGTTTCTTCAAAACTTAATTTTCTAACAGTTTCTAAATATATAGCAAATTGATTTGGTAAACCTATTGATAAATCATTAACCACTGTAGTACGTTTTTTTTCACCAATTTTTTCATATTTTTGTTTATTTGTTGGAGCTTTTAAACCTTGCCATGGTAATTGACCTCTCAGGAAATAAAAAAAAACATGACCTAATGCTTCTAAATCATCTCTTCTTGATTGTTCTCTACCTAAATGAGTATTTATAGACATATATCTTGCAGTTCCACTTAATGATTTTTTCTCTCTATAAGGATTATGTTGTTTTGTTCTTGGATCTCTATAATGTTTAGCCATACCAAAATCAACTAAATGAATTTGATTTTCATCAATTTGACCAGGTCTACCAACAAGGAAATTATCTGGTTTTATATCTCTATAAATTAAATCATTTGCATGTAAAGTTTCAATTAAAGTAATCATTTGTACTGCAACTTGAACAGTAGTTTTAACACTAAATCTTCTACCACACCAATCAAATAAATCTTCGAGTGAAGGACCTAATAAATCAATAACCAAAATGTTATGTAAACCTTCTTGACCAAAATAATAAGCTTGTGGAATACCATAAGATCCATTTAAATGTTTATAAGTTCTATATTCATCTCTTAATTGTGGAGCTTCAGTTTTTCTTGGTTCAAATTTTATTGCAACAGGAATTTGATTAATCATATTTATACCTTCAAAAATAACACCAAATGAACCTTCACCAATTTTTTTACCAATTTTATAATGTAAACCAACTATAGTGGAATTATTTGATGATGAATTATTATTAGTATTAGAATTGGATGTATTATTACTAGATATTTGTTGGTGAGATTGATGATGGGATTGATGATTTGTTGAGCCTGTGTTTATTATATTATTAACAGCAGCAGAAGACGCAGCAACAGCAGCAGCTGAAGCTTGACGAGTAGTCATATTGGATTGAAATTAATGGATGAGATCTTGGAATGGAATGGAATGATGTGAAATGATATGAGTAAATGATAAAAACACTATGACAATGACTTAATGACTATGATTATGACTATGCAATGATGAATGTAGATCAGATCAACTCAAATATAAATCAAATATAAATCAAATCTAATATAAATCTATTAATATATGAAACCACAAGAGGACACAACGACACAATAGATAATAGATTAACAGCAGATCAACACAGAACACAACACAAAGAACAACTAGCGACAGGAATGAAAGATAGTGAGTATCTGAATATGACCAGTGGTATATGAATGCAAATGCAAATTTAATGTTATTCAGTTGTGTTTATAATAGTTTTTGTTTTGTTTCTGTTTCTGTTTTATAAATTTCTATTTTTCTTTTCGTTGGTTGTTTTTTTTTAATAAGGTGAGGTTTACAAAAAAAGAAACAGCAATTTTTGGATTTTTTTAAATTCTGGAAAAATAAAAAATTAAACGGAATGGAAATGGGAACGAAGGGAATCGAATGGGATTTTATGGTATAAGAGTGAATTGATTTTATTATTATAAGTTAAATTGTATAGTTGTAGTTATTGTATGTTATTCTATGGATCTGGTTTTAGTTTTGTTCTTATCTAGTCGTATAATGTATAATGTATGTGTAAATCATCTGGGGTTCATAGATTTTCGAGAACTAGTACAAATAAACTAAATTATAAATATTGATCTCATTATATCATACTCCTAGGCTTTTATATACATTATTAATTTAAAATATGTTCTTTTATACACTTGGATCACTTCCTCTAACAATAAATAAATTATCACCATCTTTTAAACCTGAACAACGATCACTTGTATTTAATTTAATAAAATCATTATCAATCAATTTAAATAAAAAAATTCGTTCATCTGGATTATTTGTTCTATTATTTAAATTTTTTAATCCAATGTTTGAAGCTATTGAATCTAAAGCACGACCTATTGGCCATGATCTACTTATAAATATTGGGAATTTAGTATTTTGATCAATGTTGGATGATTCATCAATGACTTGGATTTGAAGATGGATACGTTCAGTAGTGGGTACCTTAGGGTCACCTTTTGATTTATTTTTCAATTGTGCTAATTCAATGATTTTCTTGGATGGATTTTTAGAAGGTTTTATGGATTTTGATGACTTGGTAAAGAATTTTTTCAATTTATTTAAAGCATTTGAATTTGATTTTAATGTACCTTGAAGATTTGTTGGATTTGTTTCTGTAGTTTTCAAAGTTGGTGGTTTCCAATTAGATCTATCAGGGAATAATGATTGAGATGAAGGTAAATCTTTAAATGAATTTTCATGGATTTCTGTAGGTTTTTGTTGTTTTTGTTTTAATTTCCAATCTTTACAATCATGATTTTCTGGTTTTCTATGATTTTGACAAAATGTTTGATGACATGAACATTTGAAAGGTAAGAAATCTATTTGTCCACAGAAGGAACAATGTTCTCCAATGTCTAATAGTTGTGTCATATTGATAATGAATGGTGATAAGTGATGATGATAATGATGATGTATGGATATGATGTGTTTTTATACCAAGATCAAGTGGCAAAGAGTGGCAAAGTGGCAAATAATAACAGCTAAACTTGGAATCTTCTAGAGATTAATTTATTGATGACAATTAAAAGAGTGGATATGAACTAGTACTATAATCTATAGCTGAGTAATGATCTGTGGTATTCTCATAGTGAAGTTGATATTGGTGATGTTTTTCTTTTTCTATTCGCGTTACAAATGGAATACTAAAAGTCTATAATACTAGAATACTACAACACTAAGAGTATGTAACATGAATAGAATAGAATGTTATATATATTAATATACAATATAGAATAGAGTAGAATCGAATAGAATATATAATCAGTATAAAGTAATCTCTTAGTCAATTTGTGTCAATGCCATCGCCCATAATTATCTGACAAACTAAACACCGTTGAAATTCCGTCAAGCACATAAGCACATCGGCACTTTCAATCAAACACCGTTGAAAATAATATCTCATGAACTCATCAACTAGTCTAATTATTAATCAAATACTCCCTTAATTCCACTGTCCAATCAACCTGTCTTATCTCATTACGCTGGTGCTTACACATTGACGCAATACTAACAGTGTAATGAGCCATGGGCCATGGGCATTAGATCATTGGCCAATATGGTGTCTTCATGGAATATGCATAAACTCATCGGATTTCTAAAAACCATAATATAAATACAAGTGAATATCCACATAATCCTAAACTCCTACATATTATTACTATACTATATATATACTATACACATACTATATATATACTATACACATACTATACAACACATACAATGTCAGTCTTATTAACAGGTGCTTCAGGTTTCATCGCTTTACACATCATTGATGTCCTTTTATCCAAAAATCATAAAGTTATTGGTACAGTTAGATCTCAATCAAAAGCTGACAAGATAACAAAACAATTTAAAGAATTATACCCTCAAGGTGAATTATCTTTTGAAATTGTTGAAGATATTGCAGCACCAGGTGCTTTTAATCATGTTTTACAAAAGCATCCAGAAATTAAAAAAGTTTTACATACAGCTTCACCTTTTTCATTTGGTTTAAATAAAGATTTAAAAGATGCTTATTTAACTCCAGCTACTGAAGGTACAAAAAACATTTTAATTGCTATTAAAGATTATGCTCCACAAGTTGATAAAGTTGTTGTTACTTCATCATTTGCTTCAATTTATGATGGTAATAACGCTCATAAAAGAGATTTCATCCATAAAGAAGAAACTTGGAATCCAATTGTTTGGTCAGATGTTCAAAATGAAGTTGATGCTTATTTTGCCTCTAAAAAATTAGCTGAAGAATTAGCAAGAACATTCGTTAAAGAAAATAATGTTAATTTTGCTTTAACTACAATTAATCCACCTTATGTTTTAGGTCCACAAAAATTTGATGATGTTTTAGTTAATCCAACTTTAAATACTTCAGCAGAAATTGTTAATTCTTTATTATCAACAAAACTTGATGAAAAAGAATTCGTTCAAGGATTTTCAGGTCTTGCAGTTGATGTTCGTGATGTTTCAAAATTACACGTCCAAGCTATTGAAGATAATAAATTAGATGATAAAAGAATCTTCCCAGTTAATGGTGCTTTTGTTGGTCAAACTATCTTGAATATTATCCATAAACAATTTCCTGAATTAAATAATAAGATTGGTAAAGGTGATGATGACGAAGCAAAGAATGAACAAGTTTTGAAAGATCATGCTCCATTATATGATAATTCTAAAACTCATGAATGGACTGGTTTAAAGGAAATTTCATTTGAACAAACTATTAAAGATTCTGTTCAACAAATTTTAGATTTCCAAAAGAAAAATCAAGCTTAAATCAAACCAATTAAACCGTTAGGTTTAATTGGTTTGATTAAATAGATATTATATTAGATATTAGATAACTATCAACCGCCTGGTTTTAATAGATTTATAAACGATATATTACATTACCTACAACGTAGCGCTTAATCATAACTTCATTAATCTATACATAGTATCACAATTTTCTTGATTTATATTCATTAATATTGATCTTTTTACGTGGTGGTGATTGTTGTTGTGGTTCTAGTGGCGTTGGTGGTGATGGTTTTGGCGATTGATCTAATCTATGCTTTCTTGGTCTTCTTGATATATTAAATATTGATGATTTTTTTGGTTTAGGTGGTGAAGGTCGTATTGGATTTGGTTTTGGACTTGGTTTGAGGTTTGATGTTGGTATACTTGGAGCTGTTGATGTTGATGTTGGTTGGTTAAAGCTTGGTGTAGATGTCCTTATTATTGAACTCTTTGGTGTATTAAATGGTGTTGATTTTGGTGCTCTAATAATTGGTTTTTCATCACCACCTAAAGGATTCTTAAATAATGAATTTCTATATTTAATTTCATTAACAGATTTCATAAATAATTTTGAACGTTCTGGTAATTGTTTCTTTAGCTTTTTCTTAGTACTTGGTATTGGTTCAATAACATCATCAATATGAATGATTTTTGTTTCTTGTTTATCTTTTGATAATTTTGCCATACGATTTCTTAAATTAACTATAGCTAATTCTTCTTTTTTAATATAATCTTGTTTATATTTTAAATATAATAATTTTGAAGGTAATTTATATTTTGGTATATTACTTTCATCAATTTTTTCAATATGAATATAATTATCTAAATTTATTTCTTCATTATAATTAAAATTTAATTCATCTAATTGGAAACGATAAAAATTTTTAATTTTTTCATAATTTGTTGTAAATCTTGTTGATAAATCCTGTGGGAATTCCTTTTTAACTAAATTAAACCAAGTTTCTTCATCATCTAATAATAATTTAGGATTTTTTCTTTCCAAATCCATCAATTGTTGAGAATTAAATCTACCTAAAACTTTTTTAATTAATTCATATCTTGTATCACCAAGATATGATAATTGTTGATAATTTTGTATCAAGATATTCTCACATAATGAGGATAATTTCTGGAGTGGCATTGTAAAATAATCATTAAATTAATGGTTAAACAAAAGATATCTTTAGATTGTGAGTATGTATTTATCAATAATACTCATGGTTTCTTGAGACTTTAATTTGTGTCAATTGGTGAAAATTATCAATATTTGAAATTCGCGCCTAGACTGAGAATTTCTGTCTGGGTAAGAAAAGTCTCTGCCTAGGTTCTGCCTATGTTCTGCTGAGGTTCCAATGGATCTCTGTCTAAGTTCTGTCTACGCTCTCTTTGTTTCTTTTTGTCTCTGCCTATTCTCCCTCTACGCTGCTACACAGCTCCCCCTGTTCCTGCCTATCCGCCTAGGATCTACAGGGGTCTAACTCGGTTTCACAATAAGAAATAAATTTGTAATCAGACAAAAAGTCAGAATAGGCAGAGATTCCCCTTTAACACACTCATTTCAAAAGATTTTAAAACCAAATTTACACTAAAATGTAGCTAATTTTCAGGAGATTCTAACCAATGATTAACCACAAACATTCTTCATACTTTTTATTGTTCTTCTTATGATTATGTATACCTTCTCATTAACGGAACATTATTTCTCGATTTCGTTCCGAGTTTGTTTAATACCGATGAGTATTTTTTCAAAAATTAACCGTGTTTTAAAAAAATAGGTGATTTTACTTTGATCTTTTATTTATCAATTATATTATATTCAATAGACTATATTTTATTATATTCAATAGATTAGATCATATTCATATCATATCATATCATATTCATCATACCATGGCCATCTTTGGAAAGAAAAAGAAAGAAGAAACCCCAGAAGCTCAAATAGACCCTTCAAAATTAATTAAAACTGAAATACCATTTGATAAAGTTCCATCAAGTGCTACAATTCCTCAAAGAGATGAATTAACAAAAGATCAATTATTGAAATATAATGAAATTTTAAAACATTTCCAAAATCCAGATTTAAAAGTTTTCACAAGTGAATCAAAACCTTTAGAAAAGGAATCATTATCTCAATTAGAAAAATCTTGGTTAACAAAAGAATGCTTCTTGAGATATTTAAGAGCTACTAAATGGAATGTTGATGATTGTATCAAGAGAATAGAAGGTTCCCTTGCATGGAGAAGAGAATTTGGTATAACAGGTGAAGATACGGATATAGTTAATGCTGATTTAGTATCACCAGAAAATGAATCAGGTAAAGAAGTTATATTAGGTTATGAAAATTCATCAAGACCAATTTTATATTTAAAACCTGGTAGACAAAATACTAAAACATCATTTAGACAAATTCAACATATGGTTTTCATGTTGGAAAAAGTTATTGATTTCATGCCACCTGGTCAAGATTCTTTAGCTTTATTAATTGATTTTAAACAATATGATGATGTACCAAATCAAGGTGGTAAAATTCCTCCAGTTAATAGTGGTAGACAAGTTTTAAATATTTTACAAACTCATTATCCTGAAAGATTAGGTAAAGCTTTATTAACAAATATTCCATGGTTAGGTTGGACTTTCCTTAAAATTATTCATCCATTTATTGATCCATTAACAAGAGAAAAATTAGTTTTCGATGAACCTTTCCCAAATTATGTACCTATGGAACAATTAGATAAGACTTATGGAGGATTAGTAGATTTCAAATATAATCATGAAAATTATTGGAAAGAGATGAATAAAATTGCCCAAAATAAAAAAACTCATTATTTAAAAAGATTTACAAAATTTGGTGAAAAAATTGGTCTTAGTGAATTTGATTTAAGAGGTGATCATGATGATTTAAAATATCCAGTTTTTGAATATTTTAATGATGAAACTACATTAAATAATGAAAAAATTCAATCAAAAACTAATGATGAAGAATTATTAAATAATGTTGAAAAATTAAGTGTAAAAGCATAAAAAAACCATAAAAACACATAAAAAAAGGAATATTTATAAGTATATAGATTTTTTAATTAATATCTAATTGATTTCATAAAAAAGTAATTAAAATAAAAAAGAAAGTTGTATAATTAAGTGGTTTTGCATATAAATGACTTCTACGCTTAAACGTATGAAATATAGCAAATTCGCGGAATTTTCGTATAGTAATTATCGGCTATATATATCGAAAGATCTTTTATACCCAGTAATATATAAACTTCAACTTTTGATCAAATTTCCAACGCTTTTCCATAAGAATATGGTTAGTTGAGTTAATATTATTGGAATGGAACAGCTTACACTTGATCACTTGGATCACATGGATCATACAATACCTCATAAGAATATAGTATTTGCATTAGCTCAAGGAATATGGGAATTACCAATTTTTTTTTATAAATCATTAACAAATAAATTTTATTCAAATCATTCACTTGGTGCAAAATTTGAAATTTCATTATTAAAATCATTTATTAAAAATTTACATTATAAACAATTACAAATTTTTTCACCAAATAAATCAATTAAATATCAATTATTACAACAATCAAATAACCCTAAATTTGAAAAATTTAATAATTTTGCTGTGGAATATTTACCTGGTACGATATGGCTTAGGGAAATTCCTGATAGAACTCCTCAAGATCCAGTTATTTTGTTTTATCATGGTGGTGCTTATTTATTTCAATTTAGATCAGATACTCATTTAAAATATTTAACTAAATTGGTTGAAAAGTTACCATCCAATTATTCAATTTTATTAATTGATTATCCCCTTCAACCTCATCCAACTCCATTAGATTATAATCTTCAATTATGGGATGAATTATTCAATAATTTAAATTTAGAAAATATAATAACAATGGGTGATTCAGCAGGTTGTAATTTAATCCTAGAAACAATTGCAAATTTGCAACAAGATGAAGAATTAGGTTTTAAGTTCCCCAAGATTTGTTTTAAACATGTTTTAATATCTCCATGGATTGATTTATCATTAAATTTACCAGATCCAAGAATAACAAATTTAAATAATGATATCTTGGATCCAATTTGGTCTAGGAGATGGGGTGAAATTTATCATAATAATTCATCAAGTTTAATAAATTTAGAAGAATTTAAATTTAATAAAGATTTAATTCAAAATTCAATTATAATTGTTGGAGAATTAGAAATTTTATATGAAGGTGTTGTAAAATTTTCTGAAAAAAATGGAATTAATTATATTGTGGAAAAACAAGGTATTCATGATCAAATTACAATGGAAAATTTACTTGGTTATAAAATTAATGGTAAAATTTTTAATCAAATTATAGATTTCATTGTGGAGAAATAATTCGATAAACTTCAATTATTAAGCTGTATATATATTGTAATCTAAATGGTGATCACTGTTACATTATTAGATATTTATTAATTTATAAATTTATCATAAAAATTTTATATTAACATGATGTAGGTCTAGGTTTTGTAATCAAATAGTATTATAAAGCCACAGGATAAGCACTTGACTCACGTCGAAATCTTAATTCATCCGTCGAATGTCGATCAATAATTTAATACCTATAAATCTCACTTCTGATATTTCTATATAAAAGTAGGCGTGTATGATTTTCATTAAATCTGGATGCAAATATCATATATACCATTTAATTCCGATAATTTCCGAGATCTAAAAATTACTAAAATTTAAAATTATTCATTACTACATCAAATCTTAATTATTCTGATATATTTTACACATATTCTTAGCCCTTGAATCCCAAGCAATACTCTGATTTACTCAATTAATCTAAATTCGACAAAAAAATTTTGATCAATTCATTTTCATAGAATTTTAAAGTTATCAAAAAATGATGAACATCAACTTTTTTTTTGAAATTTTAAAAAATTTAGAATTTTTGCATCAAAATCACTTAAAATTAGCATCATAATAAACTTAAAGCTTCAAAATATATAACAGCACCTTCCACATCATATTTAAATTAATCCCCAATGTTTAAATCCAATTTACAAATTTCAAATTCGTGCTGCCCTAACCATATTTCAAATAAAATAACTCAATGTCTCTGAGAGTAGAAAAAGG